CATCGTTGGATGAGGACTCTTACAAAAAATCGACAATCAATGAAGCACAAAATAAGAACATCACGTACCTGTTGGACACAACCAACCCAGAAACGAATTGTGGCTATTTCATAAGGATCGTCTGGCAAAAGTCGAGGCTCATAATTCCATGTTTCATCAATGTATTCAAGAATAACTAGTGATTCGGCTATAGGTTTTCCGAGGTGAACAAGAACAGGGATCTTCTTGTAAACAGGGTTGTACTTGAGGAGCAAATCGCTCTTGTTGCTTAAATTTTCTTCTACATATTCAAAGGGTATTCCTTTGATTTTGAGAGCCAATTCTACTCTCTTTGAATAAGTGCTAGACCACATACCATGTAGACTTACTTTGTTTTCCTCTCCCATCTTATATTTTTCTTGGATGCCTTTGATTTAGACCATATGCCTTTAAATAGAATTCCAAATGTATGTTTGATTAAATTAATTTCTTGGATAGTAAGACAATTATCGGATGGTCAAACATTGGACTAGAGGATAAACTAATAACACTCAAATTGATAAGGATTATTCTATGTGTACACAATCTTTTACACCGCTCTCACATGGAGGGGGTGTCCACAAATATTTTATTGTATGTGAGCCCCTCTCCATGTGAGGGAGGTGTAAAATATTCTGTAAACTATTGTGTACACAGTACACATAGCACTTCTTGATTGATAAATCTTGGCTTGTGGATAAAGGAACACTAACCATAATCCAGTTTTATTGATATACATAGATTATAACCTACATAATTAACACATAGATTATGTTAACATTTTATACGGTTATGTATTTTTCATTTTCAACCTTTGCAAAATGTAACGAATTTAGCCTAAAACCTTTTTTAAACATATATCTCAACCTTACCATTATGTAACAAAATGCGTGCTTCCCTCAATTTCAGCCATTAAAAGACGGATATATCATCCTCTTTTAATATATACTAGTGTGGATCGTGCGTTGCACGATACCCGTTATAATTTTGTGTAATTCCAGAATTGAACAATGACAAAAATAACCTTTAAATTATACCATTTAAAATGCCAATAACTAAAAACTGAAGAAACTATATGCATTACAGCTTGCTTACATACTCTGTTGTAGATTATATGTCAAACATTTAAAACTTGCTTCAAATAACATGGATGAATCTAACATCAGTTTTAGGCAAAAGATAGCCATTAGAAAACAAATAAGAGTTTTTGAAGAAATATTGCAAACTGGCAATTATACATGTAAAAAATACCAAATTACACTCCGACAGATTGACTTTTAGTGTGTGGTTTAACTCAGCCCAGTCCAAATATTCACTTATCAGCCTTCCTGCAATAAGCAAATCAAATGACAAGCAAAAAGCATAAGCAAAGTAAATTAGGCTAGCAAGTAGGGAGGTGAACTGTAATTTCCATACTGTAGCTTCAATTGTAGCAGGGATATCATTGTTCTTTCCAATATACTATCACTACAATCAACACCATTGTGACAACACAAATCAAACACAAAAAAATATGTTACCTCTATCTGTGCAGCTTGAATGTTGTACATCTTTTTGCACAAATATGAGCATCATCATCAATCACGAAGGAGGATATAGAAAATATTGATTACATCAAAGATCTATTGCAATTTTCCATCTGTATCTGTATGAAGAAACTGATTCTATTGGATGGTGGGTCAATTATTGCGTTGCGTAATAATTTTATTTGTTATAAATTGTCATGTCTTTTTTTTTTCCGCAAGCTTAAGTTTTCGTTTGATTTTTGCTTTTAATGCTTTCATAAGGATTAGAGGAAGTTGTTGTGGATATATTTGAAGATTACTTGGTTGATTTGGGAATATTTACAATTCTCTTCTTTTGTGTATTTCTAGACTCGTATACTGATTTCAATATGTAAAAATACACTTATAACTCTAAAGTTAAAATTTAACTGGGCACTGCACCTTTCCTTCTAGCTACATTTGGAAATTTCAATATTCAGGCTTTTGTATGTATTTAGAGTCAAGATAATAATAAGATGGCTTTGGGTTTTGTATGTATTTGGAGTGGCTTTATGATAGTTTTTTTTTTTTTAAACCAGACACGGGCTGTGTCTCTCTGCCTCACGGAGACACAGACCGCGTCTCCATGCTACAGTGCTACATGGAGACACGGTGTCTCCATGTAGCATGGAGACACAGGCGGTGTCTCCTTCTAGAATGGAGACATGATGTCTCAAAATTACAAATCGAACAAACTTGAAAACCCTAATACATCAAACTACTCCTAATAACCATAATGAAACAAATCTACAGATTATGCATTTTATGTGAATACATGACCTTCATTTGACAAGGAAGACGTTAAAATACAAAAATATCAAAGCTGCAAGTTTGGACAGAAAGTATCAAAGAATAAGGGTGTGAGGAATACCTTCTTGGCAACAGTTTGATTATCCTTCTTCCCTTTAAAAATTTTGCCCAGCAAAATGTTAAAGAAATGGCCAAATGGTCCCAGATAGGCAGCGCCAAAAATCTACATTTACGAAAAAGACAGATATCAAGTATGTGTAAAACTCAGTTTCGTAGTGTTACAAGAAAATTTTTAATGATTTTTTTCCTCTCTAAAATCTTGAACCTTCTGATAAAATAGTTTAACATAGTATCAGAAAAGATGAAGGTCTAAAATTCAATTATCACTCATTTATGAAAGTTTTGCATGCGTAAGATCTTTAATGGAGAAATGAATCTTGATGGCACATGAAGGAGATGAAGGAGATCCAAATTCAAGGGTGAAGGGAATCAGGGACAAGAAATTTAGCAATCGAGGGATGATACCACTGATAAAACTAACATTTCACCATAAATAAATCAATAGCTGACTTGTGGATGATAATAATAATAATACTTAACAAAGTAATTAGTATGGTAAAAAAATGAAACTGTATCTGGTTTGTCCATCTAGTAGTAAAGAACAAAATGCTACTACTTTATTTCTACATTTTCACCAAACCCCTAAATAGTTTCTCAAAATTGACCTGCACATTCCTCTTAACATTATAAATCATGGTTAAACTAAAATAGAGATAAGAACAGGAAGAATGTATGATTTCGATTATGAATGGCATAATCAAAGTTTTGGCAAGATATCCTTCTAATGTTGGTATATCTCTGCATCATTGAGAATGTGTAATTGATATAAAATCAACCCCGAAACCACATCCATTATGCTCATGTAAAAACACTTGATCAACATATCACATTCAATTCCAGATTAAAACCTTATAAACAAAACTTTAATTCATTGACCTGCAATTTGTCGAGGTACTGGGGTTGTCCGTGGCCTTTTCTGATGGTTCCAGTGAGCTCCAACAGCCGGTCGGAACCATGAATCTACATTAAGCAAAATAGGCACGAATAAGTTTTTTTTACTACAATTCCACACCATTCAAGCTACCAAAAACTGATTCTAAACTTTATAGTATACAACAAAACATAAGAAGAAATTCCCATCAACACATTTTTGAAATCTTCTCCAGTTCTCAATTGTAATTATCACCAAACTGTAAGCCCCATATAATAGGGAAATTCGCCATGTATAAAGCATAAGACTAAACCATTAGAAAGAGGATACATTCAAAGAAGCAATTTAGAACTACAATAAATTTTCGCCTGCCAAAAACAGAAATTGTCCCATTGAACATCCATGCTAGAAGATCTAATACAAAAGAAAGTTTGTCAACCATTTAACAGAGAATAATAAACAAACAAGACAACGCATTTTCATACAAAACAATAAACAAAAATCGAACCCAGACAACCAAATCCGACACACGCACAATATCAAACCATAGCCACCTCTATTGCTATAAAGTGAGCCTCCACTGCTACCTCCACCGGAACCACCACCATATCCACCGAAACCACGTTCGTAACCTTCGGTATTACCGCCATCTAAACCTTTAATTTGAGAAACACTGTAGTAGGAATGAGAATTGAATTTAAAAATAAAATTCACAGGGACAAATATCGCAGATTGAAGACAACGGCTGCATAAATCGGAAAACGTATAAACAAAAGCAATATATACAGAAGAAGAAGAAATCGATGCAATAACCAAGAAGAAATCGATGCAATAACAACAATACTCACAAATGCGTCTCAGTCGGCTCAGATCTCTACCGAAGAAGAAGAAGAAATCGAGACGTCTAGATGGGGCAATCTCTGCCGATGTAAACCATGTTTTGGGTTGGTTTGACTCTGCCAATCTCTGCCGATGGGGTACTTGCAAGGTGAATAAAATCCCTACCCGATAAAGAACACAAGCTACAAATCTGAACATTATGTTTACATGAAGTGATACTCCCTTAGACTATAAATTGTCATTAGTCAAAATATAGGCTCAATACATAGTGAAAGTTATGCCATAATAAATACATAAATAGAACCCATTACACTACCATAACCAACCACAAATGGAACCCATTACAGTTTCCACCGTAATCTCCAAGAACATTGGAACACAATGTCATAAAAATACATGTGATCACATTGAAGTCAAGAAAATAAAATCATCTAAAGCTCAACATATGACTAATATTTATTGTCCTCGGAAACAAAATTAGCATTGATATAGTTTACAGTATAAACCCAAAAATAACTCGGTTTATATGGCAACTCAGCTTATGAACAATAAATTCAACCTCCTCTTCTATAGTCCGTGAAGGATGTAAATGATAAAGGAAATGATAGATAATACAGTTTCCATTGATCACTCTCCAGAGCATAGACTTCAGAATTGGTACATGCAATTAACAAATAAGTATTTACACTAACTTTTTAACGTAACTGAAATCGACGATAAGAAAAATAAAGTGAAATAAAAACAATGTAATAAAGGAACTTACCATGGCTCAAATTCCCAATATTGCTTGCCATCTGTAATCTTTTTAACCCCCGAAAAGAAATCCAAAATCACAAGCTATTATGATAATACTATCTAAAAAAAAGGAATTGCAAAAGTAACAACTTCGACAATAGTTGGACAAAAACTTTACAAACTTAACAAAACCAACAAGTAAATAAAATTTCAGATTGTAGATATACACAATCTTTCGAAGCAAATAGCGTCATAAGTTTAAAGCTGGCCAGATCTTCAAAACTAAATAGAAGTATAAAATAAAATACATATAACCATAAATAAACAGAACATATATAGTTATAGAAAATCACTATCATCTTCCTACTATTCCAAGTTCTTATTCCTTCATCTTTGAACAGAAGACTGGCTTAGGAAATCGAAAATATTGTTGTAAATCACCAAAGGAAAATAGCCAACACATCTTACTGTAACAGTTGGAGATTTAGAAATATCCAAAGAAAATCAATACATTTCCACATGAATGATCCTCTACAAATCTGTAATCACATTTTTAGGCGATATAATTTGAAGTAATGAAACTCACATAGATCTACTTATAACCTATTTGAAATCCACAAACCTTGGTAAGAAAAAGAAAATGCATGTGTTCAAAAGTTATGAACGAATAGCATACACATGACTGTGGTCGAAATTTTTTTGGAACGCACAGAACAATTAGGGATCAATGGTAGCATAAAGCAGCCCACAACTATGAATGTGATTTACTACATACATGTACCAGAATAATACCTAATGCAACAACCCACAATTGTACAATTTAATACAAAATTGTCTACATGTAAATTATAAAGATACCTCCAGAGATCGCAGAACGACCAAATTCACGATTACATGAGAATCAAGTTCTCAGGTCAAAGCTCAATTTAGGCCACCTATTATCCCATCTCACAGTTCCAACCAATAAAAGGAAAAAACTTTATGTAGTCATCAATTAAAAAGCATATCTAGCAGTACACACGCAAAAGCTTGAATAGAATCACTATATAAACATCTTAAAATCATTTCATCAAGCAGCAACGTAAAAAAAATAAAAAAAAATCCTTAATAAACCAAGTTTCAACCACAATCCAAACACATAAACCCCCTGAAAATGAAAACTTCTCAGAAATCACAGACGCAAGAGAAAGAAAGAAGAAACAACGTTACAGAAGAACAAAGTTTTAACCACAAGCCAAATATATTAACACTCAGTACCCTCCCTACAAACAAAAACCTCTCTAAAACCTCATAAATAAGAGACAATAGAGAGAGAAAGAAAGAAGTAACGACGTTACAGAAGAACAGAATCTCTGCTACTTTACAACAAATCGTAAACGGGATCTGAGAGTGCGAAAGTGATACACGACGAAACACAGGAAATCAATCGTACAAAAGAAGAACCGAGCGAAATCGAAAATAGGATCTGAAAGGGCAAAAATGATACACGATGAAATACAGCAAATCAATCGTAAAGAAGAAGAACCGAGCAAAAATCTGCGATGTTTTCTTGATTTTACAGCGTAGGATCACACTGAAGTGGAGAAAATATGCGGAATTCTTAGGGTTTCAAAAGGGGGAGACGAGATCGCGAGAGAGAGAAAGAGATAGAGAAGAGGAGAAAGAAGCGTCTAGAGAAACTGGAATGAGAGAGAAATGGCCGTACAGAGAGAAAAAAATGTAGGGGAAAAATGAAAACCTATCCTTTTTATCCAGCTCGGCTTCGACGGCTCGGCTAACTGGCTGGCTAAAATATTGGTCATTTGGCTTAACAACAGTGAAATCAAACCTCCTCTTTTATATATGTAGAGGATATTATTTGTAAGCTTTTGAAATAAAATATGATTTTCACCTTGTTCCAACAATAAACTAGTCGTTTGGTCGCTCTCTTTTCGTTCAAGAATTTAACGCATGGACATTAAGATTTAAGTCCTGTTTGAGGCTTCATTAATTTCAAAATGCATTTTTTTTTATCTCTTTTCAATCACGCATTCTCCAATAAAATAATATTACACGTAAATTCGAAATTTTTATTTACATTTTTAATCATACATTTTTCAAAAAATCACTACTACAAAATACATATTTTCCTAGAATCTAATTATAATGGAGCTCAAATAGAGGCTAAATTTACGAGGAGATTAAGCCCCTGTTTGGCCCCCGTTTGTAGAAATGGGGAAAGAGTGGATAAGAGATCAAACCTTGATTTCGATTGAGTGCAGAAATGGGGAAAGTGTGCTTCGATTGAGTGCAGAAATGGGGAAAGTCAGAAAATGGAGCAAACGATTTTTTTTGGGTAGTGATTCACGCCAAAACGACGTCGTTTCAAAGGACGAAATTGTGAACAGTATTTTTAAAACTGGCTCTTTTATTGTATAGGGATATAGGGAAGGGATAGGGATATTATATTATTTGTAAGCTTTTGAAATAAAATCTGATTTTCACCTTGTTCCAACAATAAACTAGTCGTTTGGTCGCCCTCTTTTCGTTCAAGAATTTAACGCATGGACATTAAGATTTAAGCCCTATTTGGGGCTTCATTAATTTCAAAATGCATTTTTTATCTCTTTTTCAATCACGCATTCTCTAATAAAATAATATTACAACTAATTTTAAATTACATTCGTGGTTGATTCATTAATTTTTTATTTCATTTGTTTATCCAATTAATTTATTTTTAGTTTTTGCTTTATTTTTGTACAGGAAAAAAACTATTGTTAGATTTATCAATTTTAAAATGTATAAATTACTTAATAGTATATTAATATAAAATTATTCTATTTTACTGAATAACCAAATATTACGTATGATTGAAAAGTTATGGATACATTTTTAATGTGTAATTAAAATTAATACTTGGCTAACATTAATTTTTAATCACTTTTTAAATAATCAAGCAAGGTTTATCGTTGACAGTCCCAATCCCAGCCCAGTCCCAATCCCTTCGGTTAAGCAAAAAGTTGTCTCTAAAATTGCTAGATTTTACAAGTATCTCACTATAAATTAGTAACACAATTCATTCCTAGATTTATTTAGCCCATGTTTGTTTACAATTATTTCATAATTTTTTTTCTCTCAAACTCATTTTCAACATCACATTTACACAATAAATTATTTTGCACATAAATTCAAAAAAAATTCCTTTTTTTTAACCAGATATCCTCCAAAATTTTACTATTTTAAAACTCATTTTCCTATTTTAATGGTAGACAAATTAGGGCTTAGTGTTATCGAATGCAACTTGAACCCCATTTTTAGCCAAATATGTATTTTGAATAATGATTTGATGGAGAATATGTGGTTAAAAAATAAAGAATTTTTTTGAATTTGCATATAACATTTTTTTATTGAATAACGTGTGTTTAAAAATAAAAAAGAGGAAAATGTATTTCGAAAATAATAGGAACCAAACAATAGGTTAAAAGCTCGAGTTTGCATTTTTTTTTATAAGGAGACAAACTGAATTTAACAAAAATTAATATTTGAAATGTGTCGTGGACATAGTTTCAATTAACAAATATGTTCCCACTCCCTCTTCCCATCCTCTCTTATTAAGGTTATGTTTGGTACCAATTCTCATTTTCAACAGTAAATCAATTCTCATTTTTAACCACACATTCTTCAATAAAATAATATTTTCTATCACATCAATAATCTTATCTTCTTTTTCAACCATACATTTCCCATCATATCACTATTCAAAATCAATTCTTCCCCCAAAAAATCCCTACCAAACACACACTTAATACGTTAAATTATAATTAAACATGACGATTGACATAAGTCTCATGTAATATTTTCTATCACATCAATAATCTTATCTTCTTTTTCAACCATACATTTCCCATCATATCACTATTCAAAATCAATTCTTCTCCCAAAAAATCCCTACCAAACACACACTAAGCAAAAATTTGTCCCTATAATTGCTCAATTTCCATTTCTTTTAATTTACGTATTATCATTAACCCATATCACTTTTACCTGAAACAATGAGAAAAAAATAAAAAAAGGACAACCTTTTACGAGTACCTCACTATAAATTAGTAAAATAATTCATTCCTACATTTATTTAGGGTGTATTTGATTAATAATATTTTTCATGAAAAATGTACTTTTTCACTTAATTTTTTTACTTTCGTGCCGTTTGATTGATGATTTTTTTCACGATAAATATTTTCCTACTTTTGGTTACGTGATCATATTTTTTTATTGAAAACAAGAAAAATATTTTCTTTGGAGATGTGTGATTTTTATTTTTTAGGTAATTCACTCTCTCTCATCTACCCACCAATAAACAAGTATAATTTTTTTTTGATTGAAAACTAAATCAATCATACACATTTAATTAATGATTTTCATATAAATAAGTTTCAAACAATTAAAATTGCGAAAAATTTATTTTCTTTATATGCAAATTTCATGCTCACAATCAAACGAACCCTCAGTGCTACTGAATGCAACTTCAAGCTCAAGGTGATGTCCTACATAGCATAGATGAGAGCCTGTTTGAGTTCCATTTTTAGCCAAAAAAGTATTTTGGAATAGTGATTTGATGGAGAATATGTATTTAAAAAATAAGAAAAACTTTTGAGATTGCGTGTAATATTATTTTATCGAAAAACATGTAATTAAAAATAAGAGAAAAATATGTTTCGAAAATAATGGAAAACAAAAACCACTCAAGTCTGCATTTTTTTAAAGAGTAATGTTGTTCACATTGAAGACTATATGAAATCTTCCTACATGGTATACATGTGTCGCTTTTTTATTTAATGTATACATGTATCGCTTTATGTATCAACTAAAAAAACGATACATGTATGCCACATAAAAAGATTACTGGTAGTTTTCACTATGATATTATTAAGGAGACAAACTAAATTTATTAACAGCTTGTTTGGTAGGAATTTTTAGGAAATAATTTATTTTTGAATAGTGATATGATGGGAAATGTGTGGTTAAAAAAGAAAAAAAATTATTGATGTGATGAAAAATATTATTTTATTGAAAAATGTGT